ATATCTACCATTTATGGTTTTTAAGTTATTTTGACTTTAAGAAAAAAATGGCGGATGCAGATGGTACTTTGATAATTGATTACTTGAAAACGGTTGTAGTCATGGCAACCTATTTTTATCAGTGCATAGAGAATGAATAGGGCTTTCTTTTAGTGCACTTAAAATAAAGTTAAGTTGCATACGACCGCCCCTATGGATATCCAAATTTATGAAACTTCAAAGACTAAAAACTCAGTTTTTTTAATTGGAATGACCATGTTCTTACTATTCCATGAGATAGAGAATCGAAATGGGCATATTTTGACAATACATGTTCCTATAGCTATCTTTAACAGTTTCTCACTTATTCCCATTTTATTGAATTGACACTATTTTTTTCGGATTTTCTTTTTAGTCTCTAGTGACACTAATCCATCACCCACTGTTATAGGTTAACATAAGTTTTTCAAAAATCGAAAAATGACTCGCAGTGGTTTCACCTATTTTGGAATTTAATTGTTATTTATGGTGAAATGGGCAGAATCGCGGCGCGTGCTTTCCGTACATTCATTCTAAAACTGGAACGAAATTGTATGAATTTTGGAAATTTTGTACCCCTAATGCACTACAAACGGTTGAAGCACAAGTGATACAAAGCTCTACAAGAGAATATTTAAGAAAATGAATTGAATTGCAAATGCAAGATTAACAAATTTTTCAAAAATTTTCCGTCCTATATCCTTAATAAATGAGTTATTTATTAATGAATTATTTAGACTAGAACTAGAATCAATGGTATTAAAGACTCCATTCCTTGATTTGTTTAAAATTCGATTGTTATAAAATCATGGCCAACTACTAAAAAGAAAATGCGAAAAAAAATGGCATCAATTCCGAGATCAATCCAATGAAATGGGAATAAATCAGAAACTGTTAAAGATAGCTATAGGAACATGTAATATCAAAATATGCCAATTTCGATTCTCTATCTCATGCAATATTAAGAACATGGTCATTCCATTTAAAAAAAACTGAGTTTATGGACTTTGAAGTTTCTTCAATTTGGATCTCCATAGGTGCGGTTGTACGCAACTTAACTTTTTTTTAAGTACACTAAAAGAAAGCCCTATTCATTCTCTATGCACTGATAAAAATGGGTTGCCATGACTATAACCGTTTTCAAGTAATCAATTATCAAGGTACCATCTGCATCCGCCATTTTTTTTCTTAAAGTCAAAATAACTTAAAAATCATAAATGGCAGATATCGACATATGGGTATCAAAAGAACTGAAATTTCACGTAGAATCCAAAAATGCAATAAAAAATAGGGGTTGCCATTTAAAATAACGGAATTACTATCTACTTCCGGTGTTTCCGGAAGTGCGGACATTTTGAAAATATTTTACATCGATTCGGCTTTCAGAGTAACTCCTAAGTACAAATTTTCAAAAACCTACGTATTTTACTTTCCCAGAAACGTTTAACTAAAGCTCCCAAAAAAACACCCTGTATATAGAGAAATTTATAATGTCAGTGAAAGCTTGATTTCAGATATAGATATATTGTCTACACCTTAGGCGGAACTTCCTAGTGACTGAATTGCTCGCAATACATCAACGCTGTCAACACATTTCAGTTCAAACGTGCAAGAATTAGAATTAACGACGTCTGAGCTTAGAGTGAAATCAGACTGGCTCATTGTAGACATCACAGAATTTTGACGAAAAAAATGGTTAAACAAATTAGGATCGTTCAGCATAATATTTTGACGCTTATCTTCGATAATTTGCATATTATGCAAGCCTTTCCAAAGGTTTCGAGAATTTTTACTACTTTTATTAATGAGTTTTTGGACTGATTCAAGTTTTCGAAGCTTAATTAACTGTTTGGTTTCTGTCAAGAGGCTTTTGTAGTAAATCGAGTTTGAGTAAGTTATAGTGGCTCGAAATTTCAACCAAACATTATTTTTCTTTATAACGCGCGAGCTGCAAAAGGCAAGGCGCTACAAAAAATACCATGTGCTTTTTAAATTAGAACACACGCCGCTGACCGGCCAGCTAGCTCTGTTGACAAAAGGGTAAACAGCGGAGAGAGCAAGACAAATATACAGGGACGTAGGTAAAAGAATTCAATACAATTGGTAATGGCTCCGTAGCTATCCTCGATTTCAACTCAATCTTCTCTACTTACGGTTAGAGGTTCTGGTAGAGTCTTTTGGGCGCCACCTAATTCGTCCAATTTCGCTTATCACTACCCGAACTAGGAAAGGTAGCTTAGCTTGAAAAATATGTAACTATAATCCCACAAAAATAATTATTGATTGGGGTGCTCTGCACCTTCATAAAAGCACAACCAAAACTTCGGTTCCCCAATGGGAATCCCAAAAACTTAGGTCCAACTATGAGGCTTAAAAAATAAATACTCCAAATTAATTCAAACAAAAACATTTACAAAAAAAATTTCCCCCATGAAATACGGAATAAAACCCACCAGAATCTCTGGGGTCAGAACACAAATATTGTTACCGTGGCACAAGTGATGAATTAGATAAAGTGATTTCAATCCCTTAATCGGTAGCTTGGGGGCAATGAAGTGGTTCAAGTCGTTACGAGCTCGTACGTTACATACTGGTTATTACTTCGTACATGGGAGTAATACTTAAGTGATTATCAATTATCGTATCTCAATATTCCAAGCTGACTAATTAACAGTATTACTATTGGCTTTAGTGCATATGCCAATTACCACAATGTGGGTCCAATTCAATACAAACAGATAAATTTATAACATTTACATCACCACAGGATCAAATATTTACGTCTGAATGGCTCCTCTGGGTCCTGGTGTAAGTCTTCTACGTAGTGCAATAAAAAGGTGTCGGTTATTAGAAGAGTTCGGCTTAGCCCGCAAGATCGTAACGTTGCAATGCTAGACTTTACGGCACTGCTCTGCAATATTCTGTCGCCTAACTTCCCAAGTTCAATCCATCCTCAATAACCCATTCGGTACGTAGATCGGTACAAGGATTTTATCTAGTACAAGGACTCCTATCCAATACAAGGACTCTAAAAATATAACCTAATTACGACTGGTTCTCACCTAAATATAGACGAACGAACCTCTAAGTAGAGAGTAAACAAAAAAAACTTCGTCAAACAGCAAGTAATGTAAAAGGCGTTATATCGTGGATCGGATCGGTATCGATGAGTGTTTCGGCTTCAAGATTAAAATTCCATTTCGGAAAGTTGCTGTCGATTTAGATTCATTAACGACACAACATTTAAGTTCGTTGGCAAGTAAAAATGCTTTCGCAAATGGTTAATTCACCAACGGAACATGAAGATAGTAAAACACACACGTTCCTCTTGCAAGTTCTAGCGAGAAGACCCCACTTTCTTTCCGAATTTCCGGCTAGTGCAACGAAGAAATTTATCTCCAACCAATTAAATCACAGAACGGCCTTTACAATACCATATAAGGAAATCTCCAAAACGCTTATCGAAAACGGAAATGAATTATCACCAATACGAACATAGATAGATATGAAAATAACACCAACGCAAATGCATAAAGTTACTAGATGGGTTGCATTCAGCGCGGCGCAAAAAGTTATACACAGAGTGAATAAAAGTGAAATATAGACAACATGTTGGCATTGTTTTAAAACTGTTACATCTTGCGGATCATCTTCAATACCTCTGTAGACAGCCATGGTTTATACTGTTTTACACATTTTGACTTCATAGGAGCAAATTTATTAAGGAGGTCGATAACTAAAGTATGCAGAAAAGTTAATTTGTCATCACTTGAGTGTTGGATTAAATTTATATCATCCCAATTAGTATATAGTTGTGATTTATGTAGAACTCCATGATAGGCTTTGTCGTGTTAATTAATAAATCAAAGTATAATAAAAAACCTATAATTTTTATTGTTTTTCTATGGGCTATCGATTTCGCCTTATAGGGCTTCATCAGGCCGTAGCGTCTACTGAATTACATTTTTTAACAAGATGGAAATGTATGATGTAATGTCCATATTTTTATATAAAATTGAATGTATGGGTGAGCGATGTTTTAAGTGTAGTGTGTGTGTGTGTATCAGTATGTGAGGTTATGTATGAGGAACACGCCACTGCCTCATACATAACCTCACATACTGATACACACACACACACTACACTTAAAACATCGCTCACCCATACATTCAATTTTATATAAAAATATGGACATTACATCATACATTTCCATCTTGTTAAAAAATGTAATTCAGTAGACGCTACGGCCTGATGAAGCCCTATAAGGCGAAATCGATAGCCCATAGAAAAACAATAAAAATTATAGGTTTTTTATTATACTTTGATTTATTAATTAGTATATAGTTATTGCAATATTGGTAACTAACTTAAAACTATATGTAATATAGGTAATTATTTTTTTCTCAATAGTGAGATAAATAGGTAAGCCGACATTTGAACATGAAGCAACGCTCATCCTAACCTAAGGATTGATCACAGGTTCGATGTGGCCGCGAACTCAACTCAAAGGTATATACGAGTAGTAATTTATTAAAATCTCATAAATGCTCAGCTTAAGAGAACCTCGCCGAAGTGACTGCGTCCCGGAAAAATTCCATTAGATCAATAGTGCCCATATGCGTATCAGGCACAACTGGCAGCGCATATACATTGACACCGGAGCACATCTCAAAGTATCGCTGGCCACAAGCTGTATGAAAACTTCGCGCTGCCGATTGCTTTTCTGACCCGCGAATTAAACGTGATTCTCACCGACGGCAAACCGCGACCGCAATCTGTGCTCACCACGGAAGTTCCCGTCACGTTGACCGACCGGACTGTGCTGAAGGAATTCGTCATACTCCCAGGAGCCCGGAATCGCACCCTCCTTGGAGTTGATTTTATCCTGGTCTCCAAGGTCGCCTTTAACCTTCCAGAGCGATATTGGCAGTTCCTTGGAGAGACACATAAGCATAACATTCGCAAACGCAGACCCCAGGCGCATGACCTACCAGGAACTATTGTACCTATTCGGAAGTTTGAAGACACCCACCCCAGAGGTAATCGCTGAAGAATCTACGTACGCCGAGCCACGCGTCGCCGCCCAACATACTTCATTGCATCCGACGATATTGTGTTACGCCGAAGGAGCTTCCTTATCACTGCCCGAGAAAGAAGAGCTAAATAAATTCTTGCTCGCCAATCGTGCCACCAGCGCGCAGCGGGGAGTCTACTCCTTACGTGGTGCACCACATTGAGATACGTCCTGGTCGTCCAGTCGCTTCACCACCCTACCGGTTAACCGTCGCCAAGACGACAACACTGAAGCAACAATTAAACAAGATGATAACTGTGCTAACTATGCGTGCCCCATTATGCGAGTCACTCTGTAATTGGGCGGAAGCCTGTTGGGAGCCCAGAACAAGAGAGGGACAATATAACAATATAATGCTACAGAGACCGACAATTAAACTGGGTGATGACTCCAGACTACTCGTTTCCTAAAATGGACGACTTAACCCACACTGGCAAAGCATTTCTTATGACTACCATCGACCTCCAGGCCGGATACTGGCAAACCGCGGTTGCCAAAAAGTACCGTGATCATACCGCTTTCATCTCTTCTTGCGGCCTCTACTGATTTAAAAGAATGCCCTTTTCCCTAAGAAATGCCCTTGCGACCTTCCAACGACTTATCGTTCTCTTCCGAGACTTCGCCACTCACCTACAGGATCTGCAGGCCACCTCCGACAGACTACGCCAGTTTAAACTGAAAGCGCGGAGAGAAAAGTGCCATTTCCCATGCACTCGCACGCATCAAGTACCTAGGTCACTTAATCACACCAGACATGTCGCAGTTGGGATCCCGCAAAGACCTCCGCTATCGCCGATCTTCTAGCTTCCAGGAATATGTCCGTTCATTGAGACCCGTTCCTGGTATAGAAGATTCGTGCCTCAATTCGCACAGGTCGCAAAATCCTTAAGACTTTAATGAAAAAGGATGTCTCATGGGTATGGGCAACCGAACAATACTACCTTCAATCGGTTAAAAACCATGCTCACCACCGCACCAATACTACAGACCGAGCATTCTTCGCCCTTTATCAGCAAGTTGGTACCTACGCCTTAGGTGTTGTACTCGCCTAAAGTGAAGGCTCGGAGAAATGACATGTGGAGTATGCCAGCCGCCTGCTCAGTCCCGCCGCGCCGAGAGGAATTATTCCAACACGGAACGTGAAGCACTCGCTGTGGTATGGTCACTTACGAAATTCTGAGGTTACATGGAAAGGACCCCAATCACCCTAACCACAGACCACAACCCTCAAGTCACCTACTGGAAGACTCGCCAGATGGGTCTTAGCCATCCACTCCGATGACATTTTGTATCAATATATGTATACCTGGTATAATCGTTTGCTTCACCGGCAAAACCGGCATCTTTCCGTAAGATCTGAGCGACCCAAGTAACGGGTCGTAGAAGTTATCTTAGCTAACCCAAAGAGTTTTATTAATTATTGGGTGTGTAGGTATAATGATCAAGTGTAGTTTAAGTGGAAACAAATGATTTGTTTATCTATCTGGATTACTTTCGTTCACTTAGACTTTGCAAACAATTCTAAAAGGAAAAATAAACACTGAGATAAGAAATTCAAGTAAAATAAACCAACTTTGCGCTTATACGTAAATAATCTCCCATATCTACTTAATAAATGGAAATAATACCATATCAAGGGAATTATTTTTGGTGTTTAGACCGAAATAACGTCTACATGACGTTGTTACAGTTTTACGACGGAGCGGGTTAGATTACAATCTTGCTCCCCGTTGCAGTTGAATCTAACAGATTTTCCGGTAAATTGTCAGCTACGAATTGGCGTTACATAACTCAAACTCGCAAGAACTACATTCTATCAATGACTTTCATGAAACATAACCAATATGACAGATATGTAGGTACCTAAATCATTACCGCGAGGTCTATGTACTCTAGTGAAATTTTAATCAAATAATACATTTGAGTAGTTTAACGTTCCGACCAAGTTCGGTTAAGAAATATGACAGAAAAACCAAAATTTGCCGATTTTGTTATTATTTTTTTCTGATACTATTAGAACAGATACAGAAAAATTATAAACACTTTCTCATTGCCACTTTTTGAGCTCTATAAGACACCGTTGATAGATTTTCAATACAACGTTTCGTTTCGGAGAAATCATTATCCACTTTATTCTTTTATATGGCCCTGTATTGAGTAGCATTTTTGATTACGAATACAACGATATACGGCACACAAAACAACAAACGTTGGAAACTGCTGGTTTCAACAAGACGGCGCACCCGCGCACAACGTCCTAATCGTGTGAGAATGTTAATCGGACAAATTTCCTGGAAAATGGAATTTGGATAAATGGATTAGAATGTTGTGCGCGGGTGCACCATCCTGTTGAAACCAACAGTTTCCAAATTTTGTTTTTTTTTGTGTGCCTTATAGTGTATGTCCATCTAAACAAAGTAATAAAGCCGTCGTCTTAGCGATTGGATAAAGCATATTTTTCAGACATACTTATCGAACCTTCGAAGCATTCGAAGGTATTTGACTTTTGTCATTTGGAAAGCGTTACACCAAGTATATGACTGGTGATTCCGAGAACTACCCGGTGAATTCGGATGTGGTGAAGTTACACTCACTTCTGTTTCGTCGACTAAGCCCTGAATTTTCGATCTACTACGAACCCACGGATAAGTGGCGGTACTCGGGACCGATTGGGTACGGAAACACGAACTAGTCTATAGGTTTATAGAACCAAAATTTAAGGCTCAATTCTGACCTCATTTACAGCTCTAGTAAACTTTTTACAACTACCCTAAAGCAGCAAAAATGTTTCAGACTTATTCCAATTTAAGTTCATGAAGTGATAAAGTTAAAATATAAAGTCAAATACGAAGAAGTTCATGTGCATTTTTTGTTACAGTTCGAAATGGATATTCTTGCGTGCCTGTTGCCTTAGCCGAAGGACTCGATATTAAATTAAATGCGTCTGTGCGGAAAGTAGAATACAGCCAAACTGGCGTGGAGGTCACAGTTTATAATCCTCGCAACACTGCTTCAACAAATACATATCATGGTAAGTATTTTTTTGTTCAATGTGTTCATGTGCTCAATACCACCATTTCATAATATTGACACCCTACTAAAAACTAAAAGTTAACTAACTTATCAAAATTAACATGATGAGCACATGCGCAACGCTAAATTGGACCGTGTGCAATTTCAATCCATGTAACTGTAAATTATTTAAAAACATTTTCAATAAGTTGTAACAATTAGGTAAGTACCTTTTCGACAATAGCCGTTGCACTACCAAGTACCTACCTATTATTTTACTTTCAGTTAGATAATAAGATAACATCAAAAATAAAACCTTTAGGTATGCATAGGTAAGTTAACTATCTACATATCTGTAGGTATGTGGTTTCCAACTTTGCCATCATAAGGAGTACGCATTCTTCGACAAGTAGACATAGAGGAAGTGTATTTGTATATTATATTAGACAAATTGGTTTTATTTTGTGATTATATGCCGTAGATTGGTTACACAACAACCGTAATCCCTGGGAAGTAACGTGATTAATATTCCCCTCGAAATGGGATATAATTTAAATTCGCAATTAACGTTAGTACGCGAATGTGGCTTAGTGCAGCTATTACTTGCATGACAGAAACGTATTTAGCGGAAGCCATAAATTACAGGAATATTATTTAGCTGGAATGGAGCGAGTAGGTAAACCATTGTTGTACCTCCTAAAACAACTTCACCGTGACGACAGCTGCTATTGGTTAAGGTATCTAAAGCAGATATGATAACCGCCAGAAGCACCAATTACATAGGTTGACTTAGGCTAAGCGAATAAAAACTGTTATTGTTATCGTTTCGAGAGGCACCACCTTATTTTTTAGTGTATTGTATTTATTATAATAATAGGGCTTATAAGTAGGAGTAGTAACCATTGGCAGAAATATCTCTAGGACGCGGCGAGATTTGATGTCAGGACTAATGGCCATCTTCTTTAATGACTGGAATTGTAATCGTGGTGTTTAGCGACTTTAATTGGTCGCGTCAAATGCAGAACAGTATGTTAGATCGGTATAAAAGGATTTATGAACCTGGTAGGACTACTAATGGCATCTATAGAACGGCATTGTTTCCGTTCAACTAATGTTGAATTGTTGAGATTTTTCTAAGAGCCCCGGAATGTCTGGATATATTCATGTTAATTAATTCTCGTCTTCGAATGTGTGAAAGTTTAGAAGGTAGGTAGCGCAGCGGTATCAGTCAATGGATTATAAGCGGTTTGGAATCTAACCAAAAGGAGGCGTTTTTTTCCTCGCGCGCGTTGTTCGAAATCAATCAAGTTTACTTTTAATTGCCGAAGCAATAAAAAATTAACTATTTATCGCGGCTGTAGTGTAAAACTAAACTGACTACTCCACATCACATTTGTAAGAACAAGTTTAAAACAGAAAATACTCGTTTGGTTTCCTACCTACCATTTGCTTATTATTTGACACTGATTTACAGTACACCCTAGCATTGTGGCTGCATAGCTTGTTTATTTTGACAGTATTCTATATATAACATTAGTTTTATTCAGAAACAGGATTGCGGAATAAATTTTACTTTTGAACAACCGAGGTAATAAAAGTTAGTCTGTTATAACAGTACTTTATAGCAGCTGAGAGCAACCTTATAGTACCCTCACATATAAACAGTGTGATTTAAATGCCATAAATTTTGAGAATTTTATTGGAAGCAAACTTTAATGCGTAAACTATCATAAATAGTAAAAATTCAATTTTGGCGGTATATTTTCATCTACATACCACGGCTTTCGGTTTAATTAATAATTTACCATTCACGCTAGAAATTTATAGTAACGGTACCGCTTAATTTAATTCATATTCAAGCTTTTATTTGTTTAACGTCAGAAAGAAGATTTTATCGTTAATAATATACGTGAAGGAAAATAGAGAATTTTAGCTGCCTACTTAAGTGTGCATGGGCACTACGTATTAGAATTTTAACGAATTTACTATGTACGGTAAAGGAAGATATAATGAATCCGACGTCTTAAATCGTATTAGAATTACAATGTGTCCGATTAAACTGGTTTTAGTGAAAATAATTTTACGGATTCGTTTTCGGAACTACCACAAACCCTTTTCATTAATTAATTTTATACTGAACGGAAATTGTTTAGTTATAATACCATATAATACCATTAGGTATTGGAAATCACATATTGAGTAGTAGCAGCGGTCAAGGGGCAAATACATGAAAATGTAGTGAAATCATAACTAAACTGTACCTTTAGATAATCTTGGGAGAGCGACCAACCACAATTTTAATACCATACGTGTTCACTAAAACTATTCTTCATTTTCTCGAATTCTTCTTGACAAGTAAGTCTATAGGTATTCATAAAGCAATCTTTTTTAATAAACCTGTAAAGCAGCTTACTGTCTCCGAGAGGCGTTGCGTAAACCGACGATAAAAACTATACACTCCTAGAATAATTCTTGTGTTGAAGTTAGTGGTTTCTGCAAAATTTGGATTCTGGTTGCATCTACTTTTATATTTCCTTCTGTTGGGATTATGTATCCAAGGAAATTGATCTCATTTCAAGACATTTTCACTTTTCACAATGTAAATGGTGATGGTTACAGCAGATTTGAGTGTGATAATATCAACCTTAATTGCTCCTGATGTTCTTCTATGTGTATTTGATGTCTTTCGGCTTGAGGACATCATCCACACACCGATCAAGAGCTGCAGCAGAGACATTTATCAAGAATGCGGTGTGGGTAGGTACTTGCTCGAATTCTCATGCAGCAATCTCCCGCCGTTCAATCGATTAAGCTCAAATATCTAGGTCTGCCAATTTCTTCCAATATAGGTAGAGCATTTTGATCTATACTTCAATCATTTTGTTTACCCAAAATCGTCCTGAAACCTTCATTTTCATGCCTACTTTCTGTCAGGAAATTTTAGTTTCCATGATAGAGGCAGAGCAGACTTCGTTTCCTGCCGCTTGTCACTTTACTGCCCGCACCTGTCACTTTACCGGCCGCATTTTTGACATTGCTAAATGTCTATAATGACTCCTATCACTGACAGATTGACATTAAAAAAAGTTCTATATGAAAATTGAAATTTTATAATAAAATACGATTTCGGGTAACATCTAATACAAAACTCGTCAGTAAAATGACATTACTTGACTCGGAAATTAAAGTACTCGGCCCCAAAGGGGCCTCGCACTTCATTCTTTGCTCGCCAATAATGTGTCATTTTATGTAAATAACTATTAATATTCGTGCGTCGAAAAATATTCAAGTGGAACTATCTTGTTTATAGTTACAACTACAGTGACTTTATAAGGACAGTGGCGACAACTTATCATAATCCGCCATATTGGAGCTAAAAAATTGATTGTAAGATCAATATACCTTGTCATGTCAAATTGTGAGCGTAGAATAATAAATGTCAGTTTCATTTAAGTAAAGATTCTTGTTCAAAACGAACGGCGCAGAAATGATCGTTTAAAGCTTTGCAGAACAACCTATGGGAAAACAAATGCCTCCCAAATTCAAAAAGGTATATGGAAAACGGTATAATAAGTATGAAATATGGTGCAATATCCAAAATGTACATATAAATAATCATTAAATTGTGTTTGACATTTCAGTGTCTTCTGTTACTTCTTGTCCCCTGTCGCGTGTTGCTCCTTCCAGACTTAAAAGTATTTCTTTAGTCTCTTAAATGGAAGACAAAACACGTTGATCTAGTCCACGGAGTACAAGAGATCAATATTCCATGTGCTCCAGCAAACATGAAACCAATTCAAGCGTATTTACGATCACAATTGAATTTGCTGCTAAATTTCGGATAAGCTGCTTCTCTAACCAGTTTTCTATCTAAACTCATTAGGTATTTAGGGCTTCTGAAAAAATTTTACATCAATTACCAGTCGTAAGGTTAGGCACAGTTTTACATCTAAAAACACTAAGCGGATTACATACCTCATAATATCGTAATAAATCCAAACTATATGCGTCTTTAAAAATCGAGTTTATATAAAACTGGAGACGGAAAACGTAAAATAAAGCAAATACAAGAAGCAAAGTGTAAACTAGTAACATGAAGCCGTGACAATTACAGGTGACACTGTCAAAACAGTATAATTAATAATTATAGCACGGAGTGTACCGCGTCGTTTTGAAGGTTTTCTATTGGCCAGTTTGGAATTTAGCTCCAATATGGCGACCGGAACCAACGACCAATCAAAAACGAGATACCCTGTTGTCGCCACTGTCTCTATAAAGTCACTGTAGTTACAACTACTGTAGGGCTAACAGGCTAGTTACATTTACAACCTCTACGGCACCCGCAAAAATTTTACGTTGACTATTTATCCCTCCTTAAAACCTGAAATTCAAATGTTCTGGTTTGATTGAATATATTAATCAAAACAAAGTTGCTCAAATTTCATTTTCCTGTGCACGTCCCTGGATGTAAAATATCAGTTTGATTTTTAAATGAAATACAAACAAAAAACATAGGCATTTGATCCTTATCTACAATTTGTTTTTACCACTTAGGGCCGGTTTTACAACTACACCTATTCCCAGAATAAGATATTCTTAGAATAACTGCCATAGCAACATGTATCCCATTGGATGACGAAATGGTAACCAAAGTAACCGTCGTCATTTATTCTAGGTGTAGCTTATTCTCGGTATATACTTGCATTGTAGATTCGGCCCTTAATGAATTACTGGCATATCCTCCTACATTTTATAAAATACCTAGTCATTTCGTTGACATTCCCCCCTTCTAGATCGATAATGGATACTATTTATCGCTTTCGAATGGGAAGGAAACCCAATCGCTTAGCCCTAGAAAGTACACTATGCCACAGTTTGCCCGCGGTGTATAATAGCTATTTATATATCAAGTACATAAACTGGGTCTTTATGGACGAGTCGTTTATTTAGCCGAGCGAGTTTACGAGCAAGGCGTAAATAAAGATGGCGAGTCCATAAAGACGGTTTATGTACGCGGTA